ATTAAAAAAATTAAAGTTTTTTAAAAAATTATTCATAACTATAAATTTTTATTATGGAACTATATTTAATTTATTAATAAAAAATATTCTTTGCCTAATTTTATATATAATTTATCTTCATTTCCCGCATATAACGGCAAGACTGGCTTCAGCTCCAACATTTGTTAAGAAGTCTGGACATTATATGCCTTCATCAGTATGTGTGCGACCATGGTTGGATGTGCCCGGACATATCGGTAGAAAGCATCTGATTCTCACCGGCCGATTTTTTGGATCATAATTGGCTGCACACCACGTAGCACCAATTCAGTGGTTCCACTCGCTCTGAAGCTGTGACCTGATATATCAGCATCAGATATGATTGCTCGAAGCCTTTTGCAAAACCATCGTTTGGTGGCCCATGAGCCATCTGCTTTTACGAACAAATGGTTACAGCCAAGCGCATATAATGGGCTGGTGCGTCAGATGGTATATGCCTTGAGTGCTTTAATGGGACATAAATTGTCGTTGGTAAGGTTTATAACTAGTGTTGCCCTTATGGCCGATCGGTGGCTTTTGGTTCTTGCAAGCTGAATAGTTGCGAATGTTGAGGAGTTGGCCTTTTCGAACCTTAGTGCATTCAGGGGGGAACTTTGACTCCATCTGCCTCATGGTCCGGTAGTAGCTCGCCAAGGCGTGCTAACCCATAAAACGCCGTCAGTGCCACGGTCCAAAAAAGCAAGTGATATGCTTCTCTGAAGTCCAAGCTCCGCCTTATTTGGTCCAGGTGTGTTTTCGTTATGTGCATCTTTTGTTTTATTGGTTCGTGTTTATGATTTGCTTCGATTGTTCTCAGCATCTCTTTTATCAGGGGGTCGAATCGGATCGGTATCCAATCTACAGAGTTTCTGGTATGGTGGAATTTTAGTGCCGCCAGGTAAGAAGTAATTGTCAAAGGTGCTACTGCGTTGCTCATTGATTTGATAAACTTGATTAACGATTCTCTTGATATCGGCCAGATACTGCCGTCCTCATTTGACCACTGATGGTCATTTGCTAGTGTTTGATAACGTTTAATTATTGACTCATATGTCCTATGCCTGGGAGGTTTGTGTTTAGAATGTCAGCCGCCTGTTGGTCTAGTGGGGTACTGTCGTTAAAATTTGTTGTTATCTGGTGCTGGTAGTCTTTTGTGTTGTTGGTTGCTGTGGCTTTTCTTCATCTCTTCTGCTGTTTGCCCAGCTATGCTTGCAGATCTATTGTGATAATGAAGGGATGGTGGAGATGATGTTAGCATATTCTATAGGAATATCAGGTCGAAGGAAGCGTGCTAAAGGGTTTTTGATCAAGAATTCTTTGTGCCCACTCCTTGACAGCAGATCTGCATCTGCATTCTGTATCCCTGGTATATGCTCCATCTTTAACAAGAAGTTCTTTTGGACTTAAAATTCATAAATCTTTGCGATGATCCTGTTAATCTCAGGGTTCTTGCAAAAGCCTGAGTAGTATGCCTCTGCATTCGCCATGTTGTCTGTCCATATAATTAGCTTCCTTCTGATCCATAAGGGTGCAAATGTGCGAATTGCTACAAAGGTTGTTAGTAATTCACGCTTCTGAATATCCTGGCTAGTGATTGTGTCATGGTTAACCCATCTGAATGCCGTGAAATAGTTTCCAAAAGTTGCACCACCTCCGATGTTAGATGCATCTGTGTACAAGTTGTGTATATCCAGCTGCAGCCATGACTGATCCTCCATTAAGTAAGTACCTGGCCACTTTTCTATCATATCTGCCCACCATTTTATGTCTGCAATCATTGGTCTTGTGATTCTTACATGGTGTCTGGGGTTTTTAACTGCCTCCTGTGCCTTTATAAACCGTTGAACAAATGGTCTGCCCTGTGGAAGCACTTGACACAACCATATTAAAGAGCCAACTAGGGATTGCAGATCCTTTTTCAAGCACCATTCCTTAACAATCCAATTGGCCAATAACTCACGTATCTTCTGCTTTTTCTGGGTTGGGACTGAAACAGACATTGACTCAGTATCTATCATCACTCCTAGGAATGTGATACAGGTGCCAGGTCCTTCTAACTTTGATTCTTTGTAGGGTACTCTCAGTATGTTTAGTATGCGTAGAAATTGTTGTAACTCTCTTTGACCATTGCCCTTTGATATTATCAGAAAATCGTCTACATAGTGGATAATTGAACTGATACCTTGCTGAGTAGCAATCCATGTAACTACATTGGCAAATCTACAGAAAATGCCTCCTGAAGCTCTATTACCAAAGGCCAATGCTTTGTCAAAGTATATGTCATCTCCAAGCTTTACTCCTTGTAAAACTTGGTCTACTGGATGCACCGGCAATATCCTGTATGCATCCTTAATATCTACCTTGGATAAACTACACCCTTTCCCATATGTATTAATCCACCTTACAGCATGATTAACATTCTCATACTTTGTAGCAAATTCTATACGATCAATCCCGTCATTAACACTCGAGCCAAAAGGAGCTGACAGATGTGATATGACTCGGAATGTTTTTGGAATTGTACCTTTTTTCTCTACAAGTCCACATGGGTTTACTTGAAATAACTCACACGGTGGTTGCTCTGTTGAAAATGGACCACACATCCGGCCTTTTTCTATTTCATTTTGAATATAATTTTTAAAAGATGCTGGATCCATGCTAATTGATTTCAAATTGTCTTGTATTCTCTTACAACGATTACCTGAAAAGTTAAACCTAAACCCTTTTGATAAGCCTGCTATTAGGTACTCTATAAAAGGCCGGTTAGGATGCAAGTTTGTTAAAGTTCTGAAAGCTCGAATATCTATTGTAGATTTTGCATTAAACTTGGCAGGGTCAATTTGTGCCAGTATTTTGATCTCATCTGCTGAGAAGGGCAAGTCACGTGGGGGGATACTGGTTAATGTCTCGCTTACTGACTGAAGTTCTGGTGGGCTACATGATGTGATATTTCGAGATAGTCTATATTGGGTGACATGTCGAAAAGTCTTCTCGAATCTGCAGTCTGGCCGATTTAAAGTAAATGATTTGATTAGCTTTTTTTTTTTTTTTTTATATATGTTTATTATTATTTATTTATTTATTTATTCATTTTTATTGTCATCACTACATATATGCATCGCTGCTCACTTTGAGCATAAGCTACAGATCCATATTATAAAGATACTCAATTAATGTTCGTACTATATATTCCATTCTTGTTATTATTACTATTATTATTATTTTCCCTTTCTTTCTTTTTTTTTTTTTTTTTATTTATATATTATCATTAGATGTTATTTTCGGTGCGCTCATTTTGTCTGGTTCTTGTATTGCTTCCATTGTTAGCAAAGCACCTTCGCTCTTGATGGCCTATCTTTTTGCACAGCAAACAAGCATAGACTCGTCCGCATCGTCTATCATCACTGCAATTTCTACGATTCCAATTAATGCATATCTCTTTCCCATCATGCCATGTCGTATCAATTCTAGGTAACCATGGTTTGCTGAACTTTGCTCTTTTAGTAGTGGTCGTGTCAAAATTCTCACCCTCTGCCTCAATATTTCTTTCTAGTAATGTTGTGTCCCGATCTATGACTAATCTTAAGCGTCGATCCTTATCATATGCCATAACTGCTGTAAACTCATGCTTGATACAGAGGTTACTAATGTGATTGCTGTAATAATTTAACTCTGACTCTCTTTCTTCATATAGTATAAGTACTGCTTCCATATAAGAACCAAATGTGATTAACCATTCAGCTATATCATTAAATTTGTTATATGCTGTACGCTTCCGGATGGTTATATATCCTCCATCTGATGCTTGTAGCGGTATTTCTTCATGGTGGTACTTTGCATTAGCTCTTATATTTCTGTAGGCAAATTCTTGTATATCAACGTATGCGTCAAATGCAATTGCTTTCTATAGCCTTGAAGGCAGGTTTGGTTTGCAAAGTAGCATTTCAATTACCTTCTGCCTATCTGTCCAATTGGACACCCACCATAAACACTTGCTTTCGATGCTGGATGCCAGTGGGTTAGTGAAATCCTTCACTACTGGCATCTGTTTTACTGTAGTATAGATCATAGCCGGGTACCTTCGAGCTTTGTCACGTTTTATTGACAGCTCATTCCTCTTGCCTGCTGATATCTCTGACGGACCTGAATCGATAATCATATCATTAAGAACTGGTGTTGCTGGATAATTACCTTGCGCCAACTCATTTCTTGTTTCCAATTGTGAGCATATAGTTGCAGGGGTTGCTTGTTCATTTCGTTCTTCTTCGATAGTTCTATTGTCAGTGCTTGCTTCCTTGATCGTCATGTTGACCTGTTCCAGCTTACTGAAGCGGTCTTTTATCGATCTTTGTATCTGTTCATTCCATTGCTTCTGGTTTTCTGCTTGCCGGTTCATAATCTCTTCCATTTTTCCGAACAACAATGTGACAGTTGCCTGGCATACATTATCGATATATGCTTTGATCTTTGGGTCGATGTTTGGTACATGCTCTCTTGGTTCGTCGGACATAGTCTCTCTATGTTTTTTTTTTTTTTTTTTTTTTACTTCTTTGTTTTTTTTTTGTTAAAAAGCTTTTAAAATCAGTGTAGAGTTGTTAAGAATATTTATATTACATAAAAATACC